GGGGGGGAGGTTTAGGAGAAGTAGGTTACGATTGTTAGACTGCAGATGTTGTGTTCCATTGTCAATACCGCTATCGCAATTGTAGTGAGCAGTCAAGTGTTTGGTGGTTCACTGCCACTGTTATCGCATCTGTAGTAAGTTATAAACTCGGTAAAGTTATCAACTACGGGTCATTCTCATGTGAATCTGCCGTGTGTTGAGTGATCACTCAAACCATTAGAATAAAAAAGAACATCACTGGCTGACTAAATAGGAAATAGCAAAAGGACATCACATTAAACAATTTATTTCGCACAAAACTTAATAATAAGTGTATCAGCCAACGCACCGTGCACTTACTTGGCAAAAAACATAGTCAACCACTACTGCCATATATTTATATCCAAACATGAACGAAAAGGTTCTCTCTGGCTTGACCTTTCATACTGGTGGCTTCCCGGGCTTATGATAAAATTCTGCCCGGAATGCTTTTTGTTCTCAAATATTTGATAGCGTAAGGTTTCCATTACAGATCAGTGTTACTTGTAACTGTACTTAGATCCAATGTACAATAAAAATACCAAGTTCAAACAAGTATATTGCATTTCTTCAAAAGTTATTTACTGGCTATAGATCGTAGCGAACAATTGGCTAAATACGTCATGATGAGTGTTATGATAATGTAGTGAAATGTATTATAAAGGAGTCTAACTATGTAATGTTTTTCAGTTGATAACATGCTACAGTAGACACTTGGTGTGCTACAAAAAAATAAATAAAAGTAAAGTAAAATAAATAAATAATAAATAAATAAATAATAAATGAATAAATAATAAACAAATAAAAATAGATAAAATGAATAAATAGATAAATAAACAAATAAAAAATAATAAATAAATGTAAAATATTCATCTATATTTCGATATCGAATAAGACCTTTTAACAGTTTACTCATTATGTGTATATACAAAAGCTAACTTTCGTGCTTTGTGAATCTGTGATTATTTTGTTTTTTTTCTTTATGAAATAAAATACTTGTACTCAAGTACAATGACTATACTTGGACTTGGACTTAAGTACATAGCTAAGTGACTGTGCTGGGCAACTAACATTTGTATTATCTTTGCCATTCCATGAATAAGCGTGAATCCTATTGTCCAAGGCATGGCATCATAGTTACTGCTATAACTTTAATAGAGCATGAGTCATACCCTACAGAAAATGACAGAATACTTATGGGACACTAATTTAGCTTTTATGATTTGTATAACACCTGACATTTTCATTTTCTATATGAAAACACCAGTCATCTACTTGCAGTATGTATGAAATTTCAGTTGACTAAGTACTTGAAATAAAACCACAATGGACTGCATGTATAAATTTCCCTTATATACTAATTACTCTTACGTAACTCAAACACGCTATAGTGGCTTGAGTTTTGCTGAGATTTGTAGACCACGGCAATTTAGTAATGAATTAACCGTTCTATGATGCTTGCTTGCTGGACACCATTCATTACCCCTAAGTGTTCAGGCTGCGAATTTCCTTAAGGAGTATTTAATATCTTTTTGCATGCAAGACAATATTGAAGAAAATATAGGCAGACTGACTGTACTTGGCGTGAGAGGTGTCAAGAGACTTCGATCTTTCCATCTTTACGAAAATTACTATGGTTTCCATAAAGTAGCTCCTGCTAAATGGCTGGCGCTTATTCCTCAAATCTTATTAATTAATTCATTCATTTATTATCCATTTATCATTCATTTATGTACATTTTTATTCATTAATCATTTATCTGTATACCTCATTATTATTCATTATTATTAATAATTTATATATTAATTTTCATTTCTTCCATTCTACGTCTCTTTGATGTCTCACCCATTTCTGGTCTACCTGACTAATTACACAATTTCTTGCAATTCTTGCACCACTCGACTGTTCGTCGTTTATACTAATATCAGTTTTATTATAACTCAGGGATCCATTTAAGCTTGCTTTGTGTTTTTTGATTTCTGAAGTAATCTGCCTTGCGTGAAGTTTTTCGCTAATATAAATGAAACTGGTATTCAAGGACATTCAACCTACTTCAAACTGTATTTCGTAGCTAGATACAGCAATGAAAATGGCGAACAGAAAAACTTGTCATATCATTAATACTGACAAATAATCATGTATAACTTTCGTTTGGTTTTGTATGTATTTTTCCCTGTTTCGTCCGTGTTTATGTACATTTGTACATATTCATTATATTTTGAAACTAATACATGTTTTACACTTGTTCTGAGTACGCGTCAATTTAATTAACTCAACCCATAGTTTTGCTCTCAAACGACTGAGCCATGTTTCAGTTCTTACACATGATTTTTAATACCAATTATGGCCAAATAAAGTCTTTAGATATCATTTTCAATTTTCGACAAATTATCGTGTGATTGTGAATTTCTTGCTGTTTTCTGATGATCACCAGTAACTGCATCTAATGTACGGTTGTTATGGTCATTAACATATTCGTTTATTACAGGGTTCTTCTAACTATGGGTCGCGACATAATTATAAAAGTAGTGATAGTAATAATAATAATAATAATAATAATAATAATAATAATAATAACAACAACAATAACAATAATATATACATATATATGTATATATGTGTATAATATACATATATGTGTCCATATGCATATATATATATATATATATATATATATATATATAATATATATATATATATATATATATATACACACACACACGCACACACACACACACACACATATGGACTGTTATAAGATGAACTTTCATATTGACACAACTAAACAATGAGATATTATCTGAATCAGACTGTGTAAAAAGAACAATTTCGACAACATGCGATATCATATAACAGTACATAAACCCTGCGTTCAGTTGAGCGCTTGTGCGCTTCGCCCCTGCCCCAAACTACTCAGGGGTGTACTTTCCTATCGTCTATCTGTTTTATGTGGCCATTCCGGTAAGTTTCTATTATCATTTTCTGTTTCGTGTATTTCGAAGCCTACTTGAAACTCACCTCACACTATCAAATATTTGAAGCAAAATGCATTCTAGGCAGAACTTTACCACAAACTCAGGAAGCCACCAGTGTAAAGGGTCAAGCCAGAGTGGTCGGAAGAAAGAGAACCTTTTCGCTTTTTTTTTTTTTTTTTTTTTTTTTTTTTTTTCCAAGCAGAGCCTCGCCCATGCCCGTGAGGGGAACCCGGTCATGTTTTGGAAATAGATATATGGCAGTAGTGTGTATATGTGTAACACGTTTGAATATATGTGCGCATGTGTGCAGGTTTACGAGTTACATAAAAAGTGCCCTGAGTACGTGGCAACACATCCGATACATACTTTTACGAAACTTGTTTCTAGGCAAATCCCAAGGCTGTGTGTGTGTGTGTGTGATGTTATGTTGTTTGAAATATGTTCCACTGCTTTATATCTGCAAAGAACAAGAATTGTTTGGGTAGGCTACCTCCGTAAAGATATTTAAGGACCGCAATTGCGTTTGTGTTTATCAATTCAGACATACTGGTTGGAAAATCACAAATGATGGTGAGTTACTCTGTAGGGAGGGAGGAAGAGAGAGACAGAGACAGACAGAAAGAAAGAGGGAATGAGTGAGTTAGGCTAACAGAAACAGAGCGAGCGAAGGTATATGGACAGTTCACTTACAAATTCTCATTTTATCAATTGTCCTTTTTGTCGTTTTTCGGTGTTTCTGTTGTTAGTGTGATTTATATCGCAGTTCTCCTTTTATGTAGTCGTTTTTGTTCTCTCTGTATTATTACTCGTGATATTTTTCCTGTTCCCAGAACTATGAGCAATATATCATTGTCATTTGATATTGTGGCTTGTGGATTTTCGTTTTTTTTATCATTATTGTCCCAGCTATCAACTTCGCTACGTGACAACCGCTACTATGGTAAAAGTTTTACATTTTATATATTATTTATAAAACTAAAGTATTTCTATATCATTTTGTTTAACGTATCATTTGTGTGTCATTACCACAGTTGTTACTTGTTTATAAGAATGATTTCTTTCGCTCATCTGTTAAGCGTGGATGAGATGCCTTAGCCCACGATAAGGTTCACATAGAATTAGCACTACCGCTATCAAAATACTACTACTGTTTAAAACGACTTTTGAGGTGAATTCGCCAGCTGCCAGTTCGAGTGAGCCTTTCTTTCTCGACTACTTGAAATTCTTACGCGTTGTTACAAACGTCGTGCATATTATTACTCGCCTTGAATAATTGCTAAATCGGTTGGTTGACTGATTATGTAATGATAAGCTAGCCAGATGTAATTTGGGTTGAATAAAGGTTAAGTCGTTTATTGATTATGCAATGTGTAGTTAAGTAGACCTTTTTTGTTTTTTGTTTAATAATAGTGAAATCGTTTAGTTAATCGATGTCTAATGCTTCATTAGGTACATATTATTACTCGTGTCCATAAGTAATTAAATAGATTAGTTAACCATAACACACAAATAGAAATGTTGAAGAATAATGAACTTCAACCCAAAAGCTCATATATTTATTATTTCTTTATTTTTTTCTGTTTCTTTTTTTCTTTCTTTTCCTTCCTTCCTTCCTTCTTTTTATGACTTGGTTTAGAGTCGACGAAGCATGAGACACCCTGAAGAACAGGTGGTGGACGATTGAGCAAATGGTAAGTATATCAAAGGCAGGTATTCTGTCCGACTTTTTATTCTTATATATCTTTTTATCGGTACAATTATTAATCAAATTTAACATGCTTCTGAAACTGATTTCTCTCCCCAATTCCAGCCACGTCGCTACAAATAGAAAATTACATTTAGTACGGGTATTGTTATAAGTGAATCTGGAAAGAAAAATATGGTTATTCATATTAAAGTAGAGAGCAGACAAACCCAACAGAAAGCAGATTTGTACATAAATGTGAGAGAAAAGCACAGAACGCAGAAAGATGTAGAAAAGAAATTAAAAGCCCCTTTGCATGCATGAAGAAAAAAAACATAGATGCAGAAGATAAGAAAAGAAAAGAAAAAACGACTGAAAATCGAACGAATCGAAATCGCCACATTTTAGTGAAAAGGCAGACGATAATAACGGAAATGCCTTTCGAAAATGCAATCGCGGTTAATCGCCGAATTAACGGTTCGCGGCAGATGGGGACCGTTGAGACTGCCGGCTGTTGGTACACAACAGATACATATGAAAGAAATGTGAATAAGGAAATGGCAATGAATGATACATTTTTATCATCAAAACGTTTGTCCTTCAAAACATAATGCATTGATTTGATGATGAACTGAGCTTATCCCTCCAATTCTATATAAGCTAGTTGTCTGCACATATTAAGTGCCATTATGTTGCTGACTTACTAATTAACGTTGTAGCAAAGCCGATCCACATAACTGGAAAGGCTATCTGGGCACAAGAAAGGTCGCTAAAACGTGAACATTTCCTAAAGAACACCACTTACCTGCTGGAATGCAGCATCCGCACTTGTTCTTTTTGCCTCCCTTCAGCTTCTTGTTGGCCTTGCAGTAGGGTTTGCCAGTCTCCAGCGTGCCGTCGCAAGGCAAGGATATGGGCTGGCAGAAACCGCCCTTAAGGTTGCACAAGCCCTTGTTTTCGCAGGCTGAGTGAAAGAGTGCGGTCGTGGTGTTAGCAGATCTCTCTATCTATTTACTTATCTATATGAATGTGTTTATAAATATACATATACACAGTACATTGTATGGATACCGCGGCGAGTGCGTCCTTTTCTCTTATGATCAGCCAAATCATCACCCGACAACAAGTCACAAGAACGCCAATATCATAACGAGAACATCAAAGCAACGAAACGAGACACTCACTTCTGGCACAGCAAACGCACTTCTTCTTGCCCTTGCAGAACGTCTTCTTGCCCTTGTTCTTGAACTTGACTTCTCCAGGGAGGCAGCTCTTCCTCCTGCATTCACCCTTGAGCTTGCCGCATTTGCGAGTGGGCTTGCAGTCTGTAGCGCGATGGGGAGAGGAAGAGACTCAGCCATTTCTTTCGTAATGGAGCTACTCCGTGTCTGAATACATGTATGTGTGTGCGTGTGCGTGTGCGCGCGTGCAGGGACGTCACTTCATAAGATGATAGGGAGGAGGGGAGTAAGGATTTTTGCCCTGAGAAAAATGTCACTCATATAAAAGACTTTTACTATTATGTTAAATCTTGTATTTCAAGAAAAACGATATATGTGGAGTCTTTATAAACCGAACTTATCATCAAAACTAATTTCGTTCAGTACCTTCGTATTGTTTCTTAAATTCATTTGATTTTAAAGGAAAATAAGAAATAAGTAATCGTTATTTGTCAAATTAAGTGAAATAAATGAAACTTATTCTTATATTTTTGCCCTAGGAAAACATAGATTTCTTTGTGGCTTTATTCAGCGAAAAAGATTTTCAGGATTCAGAAACCCCCACATGACGTCCCTGTACAAACACTATTTTTTTTTTTTTTTTTTTTAAACAAACGTGTTAGATCCATATAGTTGTTAAATGAAGTCATACCTTCGTGAATATTTGAAATTGTTCCGAAATGTGTGCCAAGCCAGGCTTGTGCATATATAAATGTATTCGTGAATAACAAATATGTATATATATATATATATATATATATATATATATATATATATATATATAAACATATTCATGAAACGGGCAAGTGGGTTATTAATAATGGGACGGTGATATCAAATTCACAGCTCAAGATGAACTACTTCATTTGTGTAATTCTTGGACCTTCTTGATGAAATTACCAAAATGTATCTATATCTTTCTCGACAGGAGGTTACAAAAAATAGTTATGCAAAGCACACGAATACGATGCGCAATGTCGTTAGTTAGTACTATAGAAGATTTCATAGACGCGTGTGGGGTGTATAATACCAGCGTAGAATAAAAAAAAAACTAAAAGAGAATACTCACTCCTTTTGATGTCAATATTTCTTGCTGCAAAACAGAATTAGAAATAAGATTAGTACACTGTAAGCAGATGAAATCAGTTTATAGAAACAGAATGCCAATGTACCGGTAAACATTATGCGTCACATATGCGTCTTTGCGTTGTGTCGCATATGCGTGTCTCCAGTATAATCAGTTCTTTATATTTTCTTAGGGTATTCTTTTTTATATACATCCCCTTCCATGTGTACCTGCCTAATTTGAGTTTGCGTGTGTGTGTGAGTTTGTGTGTGTTAAGGGAATGTGGGCGTTCTTAGAACACGTGTGCTCTTCCGTGTACTTTCCCTGATCTATCGAGCCTCATCCCAGAAAACGGAGCGAAGCCTTACCGGTCACGCAGCAGACCTGGGCGCCGTCGCACTCGGCCTTCGTCTCCATCCCCGCACACGAGCCGGCAGACACGCACTTGCCCTTGCACTGAGGCGGAGAGAGAGTCAGTAAAGGGGTCAGCATGGGTTAGAGACAAAGCAAGTAAAGTAAGTCATAAGTGCACATAGCTAGAACAAGAGAAAATGGGAATGGGAGAGTCAGAATATATATGTACATATATAGATATATAATTAAATACAAATACATATATATGTGTGTATATATATATATATATATATATATATATATATATCATATATATATATATATATATATGTATATATATATATATATATATATATATATATATACATACATATATATGTATGTTTACACATATATAGAGGGAGAGAAAGCAAAAATAACATTAAAAAACAAAACAAAACATTTAGACGAAAATTTTCTGCGACAAAGAGACAACATTCAAAATAAATGTCATTTGTGAAAGTTTATGATCTTTATTGAATGAGGCTTCTTGAATAGGCAAAGCATACGACTTTTGGCTAATAATAGTGATAAAAAATAAATATGAAAAATAATATGTAGATAGAAAAAAACGACATATACGAAAGCAAATGAAGAGAGAAAAAAAAATCGAGGAAATTTTCCTTGTCCATTTGGCCTTACTTTTTTCGACTCAGCGGCCGCCACGAGAGCCGCGAGAGCGAAGATCAGCAGCAGAGAAACCCTCATGACGCTTCCTCAGGAGCTCCACGTCCACACGGAGAGAGGGAAAGGCAGCAGAGACTCAGGGACGACGACGCTCGTAGTGCAACGCGGGGAGTTCCCGTAGAGTGCAGGGGAGGCGGAGAGGTGGTGGGCTTGTTGTCGGAGCGGAGGCTCTCGGAACACTGGTGGCAGTTCGGGTTGGTCGGATATTTAACTACCCTCCGGGGCCTCCTACCGAACCCCCCTCCCCGCTGTTACCCCCCCCCCCATTCCAACATGAGCCTGCCCCCCTTTCGCTCCCGTCATTCACACCTGCTTCAGTCCCGAAGGTCGACCCACTGCCAGCCTTCCGCGCCATGGGCACGCCCCTTCCCAGTGGGGCTTTGTTCTCCACTGGCCTCTTTCTCGCCCTAACCCCCCCCCCCCCGCGCCGTCTGGGGTTCTTTGTCAACCGTCCTGGCGTTCCACATACATATATACATATAGCCTACATACATATATAACAAAATATATACGTATATATTTATATTTCTATATCTATATATATACACATACATTTATTCATATATATATATGTACACACATGCATGCATGTGTGTATGTACATATATTTATAAAGATAAATGAATTATATATATGTATGTATATATATATATACATATATATGTATATGTATATATATATATATATATATATATATATATATATGAATGAATGAAAGGGTCTTTATCATATCTTTTTTTTTTATTGAGAATGCGTAGATTTTCAGTGTAGCAATACCATTGCCAAATTGTCTCTGTTCCTCTGAGATTGTCATAGCCGATTAGCTGTTCGGATGGCAAGTCAGTTGTCTTCCTGCTAGTCACATGTTCATGTTTTTTCTTTTTGTTTTTCCTTGTCTTCTATTGGTTTTCAGAAACATCCAACATGATTAATCCGATGTGCTATATTAAGTGTGTATTTTATATTTTTGTGAAGTTTACATAAGATTTAAATGGATCTTATAAAACCAATTCGTCCTGCTCATTGCTTCGAAAGTATTGATAATTGTCTTCGATTTTTGGATTATGAACTGTCTTCATATAGATCGCTTTATTACAGTCTACTGTGGTATTGGTATGGCTGAGTTAAACGCTAATGACACAATCCAACAACGGTCATGCCTGACGAGGGAAAGGACTCGGACCTCACTGTAAGGGGGAGCTCCATGGAACAGGACGTAAAGGAACCAGACATAAGGAAGCAACGAGGCGTCGCCAAAGGAAGCTTAACAACAAATGAAAGGGGTTCTAATGGTCACTCAGAAATAGAGCTCACCCAAAGTTTTAGACAGTATTCTCGTTGCGATTTGTAGCTTATCTAAAAGGACATTAATGATAAGCTATTACAGTAATCAAATAAAACTACAAAATATTTACAATTTTAGTATATTAATGATCTGCAGACATTAATGTGTGATATTCTTTTCATGATTAAGAGTAATCAAAAATGTGTTTCAAGAATTGATAATTACAATATATTGCTTGAGTTGAACCTTTTACATTACATTTACATAAGCCGCCGGAGCTGAAGCTGAATTAGGCCAGGCTGTAGAAACTTAGATATCAGCGAGGTCTGTGCAACTGCAGCATAGGACCTAGTGATCATAGGGGAAGGCTTCAATGTGCACCACCCAAGATCGCTCTTCTCAACACCCAAGAGCCAGCGCATGTCAAGGGAGAGGTCGTAGACCTCAAAGAATCATATGGTGTGTCGATAAGACTACTATGAGTGATCACTATGGCATGCTGGTCCAGCCAAAATGCCACAGCATAGTCCTATATGTAAAACAAAGCAAACTAGTAAGCCTTTCAGAATGCTTTGGCCTGCTGCTTTAGATGCCATGAACCCCCCAGGAGTACAAATCAATGTCAGTGCCATAAATCAAACTCACAAAGCATTCCTAAAACCCGACCTTGGTCCAGGAATTACAGAGACGCCTGGTACTGTAAGGACAACATGAAATTCAATCGCAGAGTTAACATGCAGGAAATATTTCCAAAGTCAGATAACCCCTGATAATCTAGCTCTCTTGAGGGTTATCAAGGATGCCATGGAAACTGCCAAGACTATCAGGCAGAAAAAGTTGTTGGAAAGAGGTGATTCCTTTAGCAACCAGGGCACCCTTACAGAGCTATGGCAATGGGTCAGGTGAGCCACCAACCACTCAGCTCCCAGCTGCACACAGACATCTTGGTGCACAAGTTCTCTGCGAGAACAAGTAGCACCAGTCTGCCAGCTGGATTAAGGGCCTACAACCAGGCAGACTTGCTCTCATCACAGACAGGGCAGCTGAACCTGATAACTCAGATGCTATCTTCTCTCTAAGGGAGCTAAAAAAAGGGTACAAAAACAGTTCTTGCTTAGCCTCAGACTCTGATGGGATCTCCTTCCCTATTATTTCCCACTTCGGTCTGACAGGTGATTTTGCTTTCCTACAATTCAATAACAACTTCCAGGAAACTCTACGCTATTGCCCCATCACTCTCTTCAGCTGTCTGGGCGAGACAGGCGAGTTTCCAATGGAAACTGGGACCCTCATATGAACACCTGCATGTGTTGACAAGTGGCACAGCTTACAACATAGCTACCCTCTTACATACACCAGCAATGTCACATCTATGGTAATGTTTTTAGATCTGAAGGAGGATTTTGAAATAGTAAGTCCGCTTGTTATTCAGGAGACCCTGATCCAGAAAAGAATCAGAGGAAAGTTCTTGGACTAGATAAGTGACTATTTCAGGAACAGAATAGTCAGATTCCAAGGTCCCCTATCACAGAACATGCCATTAGAGAATAATGTCAATTCTCAACAATTGCAATGATCTTGCAATCATCTCCAATGCTCGCCACTGCCTATGGAGAGCCCAGTGTTGTCTGGACTTGAGAAGCATTGTAGCATAGGACTAAAGATCTCTGCAGCCAAATTAATGGCCATAACTCTGAGACTTAATGCACATCATAGAAGTCTGTGTGTCCATGGAATGGACCTAGAGCGGGTCTATATCTACCCTTGGGGTTTGGATCGACCAGAACCTCTCCTTCAAAAAGGATATCCAATACCTGGTTTAACGAGCCAAGACAAAACTGTCTGTTATGAGAGTAATGACCGGGAGACTCATAGAAGCTGGACACAAAGTACTAAGATCATTCTATGTACATGCTGTCCATCCCAATGTAGACTACTTCTCTCGCCTGATTGCTACCAAGCCAAGCCAAGTGAAACACTGGACAGCCCAAAATGACGTTACCAGGATCATTCTGGGTGACCCAGGTGAACAAAGGCCTTCAACCACTGCATGGAGGCAAAGCTTCTGGACTACCCCTGGACTACCGAACAGATCTAATGGAAGCACAGTTTTTTCCAAGATCATCCAATCACCCCAGAACACATATATCGGACAAAAAGTTCTTGTTAAGGACTCCCCATATTCTATATTGAACCCCCTCCATGGGCACAGACCTTGATCGAGTTTTCAGCCATGAGCTTGTGAAGGAGAAAGAATAAATTCCCAATGCCTAGACTAACGGCAGAAGCCAAGGGTTATTTCAGCTATCACTCCTTGTAGTAGAACCTATTTCATGGATGGATCAGTCGTTCTTGTAACCTATACTTTGCAGCAAAGGGTACCATAACATCCATGAGGGTAACAGACAATACTGCATTGCTCCAGGCAGCAGCAGTTGCGATCATGGTAACCCTAGCCTTGCATCTCAGAGGGAAGGACACATGGTTATACATGCTTATTCAAGGGCAGCCATTGACAGTCTGCAGCACAGCATGCCCAACGACATCTACTTCCTGACCACAGTGCTTACCATAATGTAGTGGATTCTTGGCCAGTGTAATCATCTAAAATTGGTGCCCCAGCCACTTTGGTATCAGAGGGGATGTGCTTGCTGACAGACTAGCACAAACTGGCAGGGATGTGTCCCCAAATCCCATGATCATTTACCCAAGCCGAAAAATCTCAAGGCACATGGTCTAGAGCCACAGGGAGATTGCGAGAACCTCCCCCTTGGCCAAATGGTACTCAGATGCCACATATTATGAGCCCTGGCACTCTCTGCAACAATTAATAGAGCTGCCAAAGTCTTTTTTCACAGAATCAGACTAGGCTATCACTGCGCATGGCAAATTATCGAGACAACTGACTATGTTAACAAATGATGCAAGCACTGTGACGAGCTGGAGGCCATCCTGTTATACATCTACAGAGGTGTGAGTGCATACAATTTCTGAGACAGGAACCACCCACCACAGCCGCCGGGCTGGTAAGAAGGTTATGCCTTTTGCTTACATCGGGGAGCCTGGAGCACCTGCTGGCAATCCGACCACCAAAGTAAGCATTTAGTGATGATGAATCATTTGAGACAGTTTTAAATAGCTGACACGGGCCCGGGCAAAACTAGACTTCGCGAATTCGAGGAGTTGGCGGTTCATGTCCTTATCAGCAATGATAAGTTTCAACTGTCGCCCAAAGGTTACTACTGTGGCTGGGCACCACGGTTGGTAGGGTCTAAGCTCAGTCATGGCAGCACCAGCTGACACCCATTGTACGAGTCACAGACCGAGTTCCCTTTATACACATAGCCCGGGCGAGGCTCAGCTTCAGATATCGGACTTAGCCCTAAGCTGAATTACCATTCACCATTCACATGTTGATCTGGAAACAGACTTATAAATAGAGAGATAAAAAACACTCTATCATGTTCCCTATTTCTGAAAACAGAGTATGGATTGTTACCTCTTTGAGAACACACGCAGATACGTGTGTGTGTGTGTAAAGATAAATTTAGATAGATACACATATATGTATGAATATATGTTTGGTTGACGTCATGAAGTCAGTCAGCCTTTGCCACTCAGAGCTGACTGGCCGGATACGCGGCCCCGCGCTTACCCAAGACATCGTCTTGTGTGTTACCATCACTATGTAGTACTCTTCCTTAATGAAGGTTTAACACCTATCACCGCACAACCAATGTATTAAATATTTTATAGCGTTTTATCGCCTGGTGGCATGGTGCACCCTTTTGGTTGCAACACAGACACACAGTCTCCGAAATCCGCTTGACCATCGTTTCATTTCTATTCCCTCCCTTCTTTTCCCCAAAATGTGTTAAGCCGTATGTGCAG